GTTTTTTTTTGCCGATTTGAACTTGGACGACGAGGATGTTGCCTTTCAGTTGTTTTTCTTGCCTTTACTCACTCCGACTTGACAAACCTGCCGACGGAATGATGTTTTTGCCCATTCGGAAGTGCACCTGTGACTTCAACGTACTTGCCCCTTTTTTTTTTTTTCTTTTTTTTTTTTTTACATCATCATCGTCAATCTGACCGGCCCTAACTTATTTTTTAGGAAATTGAAATTCAATAATTTCAATTCCATTGTGAGGATTGAGCCCTCAAGTAGGGGCCTTGCCATGATGTACATGTTCTGGGCTAAGGCCCCAGCAAGCCTCGTGCCCGCCCTAAGTAAAGGCGGGCCAGCAAATCAACAAGAGCCCTCTATGCCAACATTTCACGAAGTGGGGTCTATACAGTTGCAGCACGCCAGTTGGTTGGAGTGCACGGAGTCTCGGATTTCAGCAAATGCTGAAATGTCCAGGGCCTCTGAGTTAGTTAGGCCCTGGGCACTTGAATGTGAGGCCGACAATGCACGCTGGGTAGAGAGGCCGAAAATGCCAAAGGGAAATCGGCCCACTGTCTGAATCTGGCCGCAGGCCTTGATGAAGGAGGCGCAACTGCATTGCCCCGGGGCCCAACTGTATCGGGTTGGCTTCAACCTCTGGGCCCCAGTCACATGTGACGCGCTGTCTTCCGTTCGGAGTATTAGCTGTGCGGAAAAGAGGCCTAGAAAAACAGCAAGATGGGGTGTGCCAAGGATTTTTGGAAATTGAGTGTGGGGACACAGACGAAACTGAAATCCCCCGTGTTGGTCCGATGGAGCAAGTCAATCGTTTTCGCGCATCGCGGAATGCGCGCGCGGGCAAGGCGGGAAGAGAGGGAAAGATCCAAATTCAATCCAAAAAGTATTGTCGTGCCTCCCACCGGGCTACAGCCCGTCGTTTAGAACAGAAAGGCTTGGGCACGCTTCGTGTATCCCGTTTTCGTATCAAGTCTCGTCGTCGTTCGCTGGTTAGTTCCGAGTTTGACGTGGAAGGTCTCAGTCCTGTGGCTCTTTCTTTATGCTCGTCTTCGCTCCGCACACGGTAGTGGAAACCCCTGGACTCGTAGCGCTCAAAACGCTGACATTCGATGCACAGAGTGCGAGGCCAGTGGGGTTCTACTGCCGTCCACAGAATGACGATCAACTCGTTAAATGGCAACAATACTGAGTAAGGTGGGAATTGCGTATCAATAATAACAAACCCGACTTCTACGAACCCAGAACAGTGGGTGGCAGGAGGGAAGTAAAACTGCCCGCCGATTTGTGCAACGGCTTCTTGTACGTCCCACTCGCATACACATGTCCTTTCCTCACTGTAAGAAAAAAGTCGTGTTGGGATGGAAGATACGGGAGGCTGGCGCCCAATCGAAGGGTACTTGTAAGTCCACATGTCAATCAATCACAAAATATCATGAGACATCATTAAGAACAAAAGCGATTCGCGCGTCCCCCAATCAATCTTTTTGACACAAGAGAAAAAAAGCAAACACAGATCAGTTTGATCACGCATATGGCTACGGGTCCTATCAGTTCAACACGACGTTGGTCCCTGGGCGCCTCGTTTCTCAGGGCTGCCTCGTGGCTCCATTGCTGATGTCGTGCAGCATAAGGCAGATGGCATGCGCAGTGCAAACAGAGCTACATATCAAAACACTCTTGCATTCTCGAACAAAATCCCGACGACAATCGTCTAATCAACAAAGGCGTCACACATTCCATACATGCATTCACTGTGGAAGGTGTGAAAATGAGACATGCACAGGAAAAGATGGATCGCATTATTTAGTACACACGCATCCACCGTTCACAAGACAAGAAGACAGGGTCTTTGCGTAGGAGGATTACCCAGGGAACTAATGGAAGAGTTCCGGAATAAGTTTTTTTACGCAGAATGCCGACTCATTTTCATTCAAGAGCGGGACAATCATTCAAACGCATCATCGTTCAAGAGGAGAGAGAGAGAGAGAGAGTCAAAATAGAAGATGACAAGGTCTGAAAATAAAAAAGTTCGGCGTCATCGCCTTACACTCTCGCCAAGGATAACAATCCGCAACAAAGGGGCATTCGTCGTTAATTCCACTATGGCCCCGGGCCAATCACTCACTCAACTCCAATCATCAAACATCATACCCGCACCGACGATCCTGGCCGTCACGTGCTAACTTCCACCACTGCGATCGTCACCCCGCTGTCGTAGAACTCGACACGGTTCGCCCGGATCCCACCGTCCGTTGTGGCGATCAAGCGCGCAACCGGCCAGCCTATCGTCATCCCGACAGAACTTTCCGACTCGCACCAATCTACTCTGCCTAGCCACTGCTTCCCGGAAGTTGGCTTAGGAGTTGAGAACGTAAGAGAGATTTGCGGACGCGCTTGCGGGTTTTATAGTTGCGACATGGGAGATAGAAAGGGGAGAAGGTGACAGGAAAGCTGAGGTGTAAGAGGAGAAGGAGGAGAAGACTTTGAGACGAGTGCTCTACGAACGCCATGCTGATCCCTCGGAACTCAAGGTTCAACCAATCAGATTCGTCGCGCGATAGGAAGGTCCTATCGATCTACACACCTGATTGGCGAGCGGGAGTTATCGGGGGATTGATTGTGCGTCATACGCCCGGCTTCGAGAGTGAGAAGAGAAAAGGCGCGAGATGTGGCGCAAGACGGGTCCAAGATTCAGATCATCGAGAAAGGGAAATGGGCGCTCGAAAGCAAGGCGGGAGAGAGAGAGGGAGAAAAAAAAAAACAGTTATGGGAAGAGAGAAAAAAGGAGGGAGAAGGGAAGGGAGGCGCGGGAGGGGGTGATACGGGGGACAAAGAGGAAGAAGCTTTTGCATGCATGGTGCCATAAAAAAAAAAAAAAAAAAAGGCACCGAAACAGTTACAGTTGGCTTCTAATTCAAAATTGAAATCACCATATTCGTGCGCGAAAAAGCGACGCCGGAAAAGAAAATCCTACGCTTATTCGTGTCCGGACGAAATTCTGAAAGTCTTCCCCAGCGTGCCCAAGAGCATTTACACACCCAAAAAGGACACATCGAAGTTCCGCTTATCCCGGAATTCCCAAACTGTCGAGCTCAATTCCCAATGCGCTCGCTAAGGCGCACGTAAATTCCCATATATTTTTCGTCTTGCAAAAAGAAAACCAGAACTCAGAAGTCGAAAAAGCTCTCAGAAAAAGGAAAATGCAACCTCCGAAAACAAAAACTCGAAGCGAGGTTTTCCTGGGGTTGGTGTGATACAAGCAAAAGAAAGGGTACGGAAAATGGCAGAGAGTCAGGAAGTGGTTAATCACATATGAGACGCGCAGGGGGTTCCAAAATTATGCGATTTCCTGATTGCATGTTATGGCGGAGAAGGAGAGAGAAAAGGAAAGAACAGAGTGATGCATGAGGAACCAATCATATCAACAGAGCTTCCGAAAGAAGTACAAGGAACGATAACTGAGCCGCGGATGAGATAGCGACAACATCCGTGGCAAGATTTCCGAAGCCCTGTCATATGCAACCCTCTACCTCGTGGAGATCGTCCAGGTGACGCCATCATGGTCCACCTGATCTCTGTGTGCTCTACACCCCTGCTCGTTGCAGTTCGTCGAATCAGCGCGTAGGTTGACGTCATCGTTGATGGCGTGATCTTCGCGAAGCTTACTGATTCGGGTCGATGAAGGGAGGAGGGGGGGGGGGTCAAGCAAATGGGATCTACCACCGCCTAGTTGGAATGGGCCAGTAGAGGCGGTACATGCCGGGGATTTCGCGAGGATGACAGGGAGGGAGTGGGGGTAGGAAGCGATTCATCCCTTCCATCGTCACTGGGAGCTCCTCGTATCGGATGATTCGATGGAAGCGGGGGAAGTGATCGCCAGTGCCGGGGAGGGAAGCGAGGTAATCGCGATATAAGGAGGAGAGGGTGTGGAAAAGTGCCGCTCGAAAGTTCTCGAAGTGGCGACAGGCGGGGATTGTCCTCGTGGCAAGACAATAGACTTCTACGACGTTGCTTTGTTCCCATGCAGCGTTGAACAGCAGGAGATGCCAACAAAATGTGGGAGCAGCGAACCGAAGGGAGGCGTGGGGGTGGATGGTGGCGAGTAAACGGGTAGAGTAGAAGTCACAGAAGAGATGGAGATGGAAAGGGTGGGAAGGGAAGGTGACGGGGGTACGAATCTGCTCGAGGGTGAGGAAATCAAGGGGTTGGCGGGACAGCGTGCGAGGACGAAGGCCTATCGCCCGCATCGGTACGTGGGCAAACTGGGGGACGGGTGGGGCTGGAGGAGGAGGGGGATCGGCGCCGTCTCCGTTGCGCGATACTTGAGGTGGCGGCTGCAGGGTCGCCATCTTCTTCGGCGTCGTCGTCGTTGATCACCACTTCTTCTGCCCTCGGGTAGAAGGCGTAAGGGATCTCGTACGGCTTCGGATACTTCTGCCGCGATGGTAGGGTATCCTCGTCCCTAGGTTCCTCCAAGCACGAAGTCCACTGGAGGTACGGATCCAAGGACCGCTCGAAAATGTACGGAGCGGGACTGTTGTCGTTTCGAAAGTAAATGTCGGGCGAGAGATCGTCCGCCAATTGCACGATCGGTGCGATGAGCTCTTGTGCTATCAAGTGACGACGCCCCGGTCGTACCGACCCAAAGAGGAATCCAATGAGATCTCCTTCCGCGTTAGTCCTCCAACCCTGTATGATCAACAGCTCCGGATTCTCGATCCACGTGGGATGCTCGCTAGTGCCCGTCCACGTCACTTGTACTCTGGTCAAGCAAAAGGACAACTCCTCAAAAGTTTCGCGCCACAATCGCCAAATTCCAGGAATGATAAGAGGGACTGGAAGAGGCTCGAATGAGAAGGAAAGAGAAGGGTGAAGATCGGATTGCCAGAAGGTGGGGAAGAGAGAGGGAAGGCCAAAGGTAGAGAGAGGAGCGAGGCGAGCAGCGTGGTTCATTGGGGACGGGGGAAGGGGACGATGGTCGGGATCGCAACTGCCCGCTCGCGTGGTGATCGGCGAATACCGTCAATATCCGATGCAACGATCGGGATGATGTTATACTCTTCCCGGACGAGGATGTGCTGCCACGCGTTGGACACTTGCTCCGTCCACTCGCGCAGCAAGGCCAAGATCGCGGTATGCCGCAGCGGAGCGACCGAGTTGATGTCGCCGGTGAATCCCGCCACTGTAGTGACGTGGCTCGTTTTGGGACCCGCTCGCCGATGAACTGCAGTAACCTCCGCGAACACTATCGCGTGAGGGCTTCCTTCTATCCGAAATGCGGCGGAGGCACAGACACCTTCGTCGCAGAAGAATCGCATCAAACGACGGAGATCCGTATTGAGCCGAGGGTGACAAACTTGCCGAATTTCTGAGAGGTGGCCATGTGGCTGCCGCAGTTGTAAGTCAAAAATCCGCTCCATGATAAAACTTATGGCGAGGTCGGAGAGGAGGATGAGGGACAGGAGGAGGGAGAAAGAGGACAGAGGGTTAGATCGTCGTCGTTTTCCTCGCTTTCCGAGGAAGAAGAGGGAGGAAGATCGGAAGGAGGAAGGAGATGGAGGTAGGAGGTATGTCGGACGATGGGGACAGAGCTATGGCTGGCGCCAGCCTCTGGTGCGATGCGCACCGTGTTGGCGTCGTTGGGTCCGAGTTCGATAACGCGAAAACAACCAGAGAACTTGGGAGCGAGTTTCCGGTCGCGTGCACATTTACGTACCTGCACTAGGTCCCCTAATTTACATTGGTACTGGGCCCCAACATTCCCGTTCCGAGCCTAATTTACGTACCTGCACTAGGTCCCCTAATTTACGTACCGAAATTCTAAAAAGCCATATTCATGGCCCGCTGAAACGTGGCAGGCGCATTGCAAATTCCCTTCGGACATCGAACCCACTGCCTCGTATCTTTAAACAGCACAAATGTTGTTTTCGAATAACAACTCCGCTGACGACAACGGTTGAGGGATGTGTGTATTGAGATCATCCAGTGCACAAAGGTCTCTGTTCCATTGGTGGGGAGCTGCACCTGCTGGAAACCGGGTCCAGCGTCCCTTACATCATCAATAATGAATAGTCAATCAAGTCTGATAATGAAAAGTGGGTCCAGCGACCCTTCAGATCCGGGAATGCTAAGATGTGTCTCTTCACCCTGTCCGGGCGCCAGATATGCGATTACACCTAGCAATACTAACATTCCAAAAATATTTATCAGAACTGGACGCCACAGATAATCATAAGAGCATGATGCAGTTGATCACTCAAGCCCAAACCATGAAATAGGAACTAAGGCCATCTTGGATGGAGGGAAGGGATCAGGAAATTCAAATACTAGAGGGTTGAGGGGGATGGAAGGATCAACATTACTCCAGTCATTAAATTGTAAGTGGTATGGTAACTTCCTTTGCAGCTCATCGTGAGCATCATCGCACACCCCATACCATTTAGCCTGCCCTATTTTACCACCTTGATCCCTCCAAGCCAGTTTTGATTGAATGTTTTTATATGTTGTCTAATATCTTTTTCTGTTGGGCCCACACGACAGCCCTTCTTCCGATCGTGAATAGGTTAGTTGTGAAGTTATCTTCACATGATGGAGTTCATGTTTCTAGGAGGAGAGCCTTCCAGCTTCATGACCACGGTAGGGAGGTTTCAATCTGATTCCAAATCCTGTCCCACCACCGCCATAGCCATACCGACCCTGGACATTGTAGGAATATATGTTCTATGGTTTCCATAATT